GCTGAGCTCGGCATCCGCCTCGGCCCCCGACTGAGGACCGAAGGAGCCGCTCACCAACTCGCCCTCGGCTTCTTCCTGTTCGTACTCCTCCCGCGTTTGCAACTCCGAAGAGTCATCGTCTGACGAGTCGTCTCCTCCTCGCCGAAGCCAATGCCCTCCGCGTCGCGGACGACCCCGACAACCTCGAAGTCCATGCGATCGCAATCCTCCTGCACGCGGTGGGTGACGCTCCTGTCCAGGCCAGGCCCAGGAGGGGAAGCGGGAGGGTCCACGAAGACGTCGTCCTCCGCGCTCGACTGGACCCAGCCACTGCCTTCGCGAGCGAAAGCCGCCAGCCGCCAGCCGCCATCCAGCTTCCAGGCCCTGCCCGGATGCCAGCGCGCGGCCTTCGACGACCTAGTCGCGCACGAACCAGACCCCTGGGGCATCGGGCCTGGGGCATGGGGCTGCAGCTGCTGGAACGGGCGCGCCGCGAGCGGCTGCCAAACCTCCGCGGTGGGCTGCAGCTCTCTGTCCGCGTCACCGCCTGCTCCTTGCCTCTGCACCTCCAGCTCCTCGCACACGGGCCCAGACGCGCCCCCGCCAGAGGCCGCCAGCCGTGGCCCCGTTGCCGCCAACGTGAGGGCCGCCCTCGAGGCCCGTGCAAACCCGCAGGCTGGCGGCTGAGCAGCATGCCGCGCCACGTTGCGGCGAAGTCGGGAGCTCCCACATACTCTCCTTCCTGCAGCCGCCGTTCTCACGGCTGGGCGGGATGCCGCCTCGCGATCCCTCCACGAACCGGGCCCGGCTCCGCCCCTGTCCCCAAGAGCTCGGCGTAGACCAGCTTCACAAGCCATCAGCCGCCTGCGTCTCGCTTCGCGCCGCGCCGCTGTGGCACCGAGCCGGGCCTGACCCTCCACGCGCATGGGCCGCCTCCCTGGCGGGCAGCCCCCCGACGCCACCTCTCAGCCGCCCGCGCCGCGGTCGCCCGAGCGGACTTGAGCCAAAATGGCTACGGATGGTGTTGGGCATTTTTTTTATCCTATCACCCTGGGGCTTATCATGCACAGACAAATTCAGACGCCGTCTTACGGCCCCGCAAACAGAGCTTGCACGGGCCCGCAGCCCACCAGGACCAGACCCCGAAGCGCGGCAACCGTCACTCCGCGCTTTGACCGACAGCAGGCCTGGGGTCCGCCATCCTGGCCGCCCTGGCGGCCCTGCCTCGCCCCTGAGCCTCAGCAGCGCTGGCAAAGCCGAAGGAGCCCAGGGCCCCCTCGAGCCCTGGGCGAAACAGCCTCCCTGGGGCAGGCGGGGCGGGCGCCCGATCCCGCACCTCTGGGGGCTCCACGGCGGGGGCTCTGGAGCCTGCAGGGGCCACAAGGTCCTCCATGCCCTCAGGGCCCGCGACCGTGCCGAGCGCCTCGGCCCACCTGGCACGGGTGGCCGCTGTGGGCCGAGCCAGCTGGTCGATCGGCTGCTTGGATTTCCCAGGCAAGAGCGACTTCGCGAAATCGTTACGCGCCTGCGCCCTGGAGCCCTTTTTGGACCTGGGGTCGTCAGCGCGCTGGGCCCCGCTGCAGGCCTTGGCTAGGCCCCTGTGGCAGTACTGGGGTTTCAGGCAATACATCCAGCACGCAACACAAACCAAAAACTCAGGGCCATCACCGCCTGAAGCGCGGGATTCCCGAAGACGGTGGCCGTTGACCTCCCAGACTCCCGACTCGACAGGGTCGTCCTGGGACGGGCGGGCTCGCGAAAAACTCGAAATTGAGCCCCCCGACATTCGGCCAGAGTCGGGGGTCTCAAAAAGGGGCCCTGGAGTCCTCACCTGGCCAGCAGGGCCCGAGGGGGCTCGCGGAGGCTGGGCGGCGGCCGCAGCAGCAGGGGAGGCCCCTGAGGAAGGAGGGGGAGGGGGCTGCGACACAGCCGACGGGGGCAGGCTCAGTGCGCCCGCGGCCGAGGGCGCTGCCCGCTCCGCCTTCTCTGCGCGGCGGCGCTGGACCGCACGAAGCAAGGCCGCCGACGCGCTCGACGCGTCAGCGGCTGGCTCACTGGGCCCGACGGGCCCCACGCCTGCCTCCTTCCTCTTGCGGACCTTCGCGTCGACCTGGCCCTGGGCCTGTGCTCCCTGGCTGGCCGCCGCTGCCGTCGCCAGCGCTGCTGCCGCCCCCAAGGCCGCCAATCCGCTGGGGCCACGGGCAGTCGACTCCTCGGCCTCCAGCAGCTGCTCCAGGGCGGGCGACGGAGCGAAGGGGTCCAGGTCCACGAGGTCCAGGGAGGTGAGCGGCCAGGAATCCCTGAGCCCCGACTCGGTGATGTGCACCTCGAGGGCCGCCGCGCACCTGGCCACCTCCTTCGCCCGAGCTAGGCAGCCCTCCAGCATCAGGGCGTCCTGCTCCGCGATGGCGTGGAATGCCGCTCCTTCCTTTGCCCTGGTGTCGGCGCGCCTGTTGCCCACGAGCTCGAAGAGGGTGAGCTCCCCGCCCTGCACCGCGGCCTCGGCGCGGTGGGCGGGCACGTGGCGCATGGCGACGCCCTCCGCTGCATCGCCCACCCTGGCCCACACGTGGGCGTGCAGGGAGCTGGGGCCACAGGCCGCGGTCAGGTTGGAAGCAGCCTTCACCGTGCTCAAGCAGTCGCTGAGCAGCGCGTAGTTCCCGATGATGTCGGCGAGGCCGATGGCGGCAGCGAAGTCCTCTCCCGCCTCGGCCGTCTGCGACGGGAGGTCGCTGGGGGGCACGGCGCCCCACGCCTCGGAGATGGGCCCCCCCTCGGGCCCGTAAACTATGACGGCCCAGCCAGCGCTCCTGACGCGCGGGAAGTCCCCGTTCAGGCACGAGCCGTCGGTGAAGACAAAGGACCCGTCGGGCACCACCAAGATGCCGCCCCCCCACCCGCAGGATCGCCTCGCCCAGCTGTCATCCCAGGCAGGCCTGGCCACCAGGAGGCTGATGTCGGCGAAGAGCCCCTGACTGAAGAGCTCGTCGAAGGGGGGCCCCATGCGGTGGGCCTGCTCCGCTGCCTGTCTCACCTGGCACGGGCAGTAGTCCCGCCTCCAGGTCGCCCAGGCTGGGCACACGTGGTGCCTGTGGTGCATCGCCCCAGGGGCGGCGCCGCAGAGCCTGCAAAGCGGGTCGATCTCTCGCCCATGCCTCGCCAGTCGGGCCTGGGGCCAGCTGGCCAGCGACGCCAAGCGTCTCAAGCAGCCTTTGTGGTGAGCCGTCCAGGTTTCCGACTCCTTGGCGCCGAGGAGCTGGTTGATCGGCGTCCACCACGGCGGCAGCCGCCACTGCCAGAAGGTCTCGGGCCTGCTGACGTACTCCTCGAGCGACGCCGCCTGACGCGTGTCCTCCTTGACCCTGGCGGCGAGGAAGGCGGGCGAGAACCTCTTGACATCGAACTCGCTGCCCCCCCTGTCGGTCAGGACGCGTCCGCCAGCTCTGAGACCCCAGCCGACCCGCCCTAGCGTGAGCACCAGCGCCGAGACTGGGTCGCGCACCGCGGCCCACGGCCTCTGCAGCGAGGCCAGACGGCTGCTGTCCCTGAGGCAGGCCTGCACGGCGGCAGGAGAGGCCTGGCCAGACCAGCTCATGGCCACGAAAGCCTGGACAGCCAGGCCCGTCGCAATTACCAGCGGATCCTGCCTCCAGCCCTGGGGCGCGCACTGCAAGCAGAAGGTCAGCGCCGCGCCCGTCGGCAGGTTGCAGGCGGCTTTCGCCGCAGATATACTGAGCGCCCTCATGCGCCCAGGCGGGATCCCGTTGATGGCCGAGCCCCACAGGGCCTTGGCAGCGGGGCCTGCCCTCTGGATCTTGGCCTGCCTCATCCCCGAGCCGAAGATCCTGGTGAGGTTGTTGCCCTGCCGCAGCGCCGCCAGCTCCCTGGCCACCTGCGTCCCGACCCTGCGGCGGCTGCCCGCCGTCGCGTCGCCACCAAGGTCGCGGTGGCCAGCGACGAAGGCTTCGTCGGCGAGGACCCAGTCGGCGTGCTGCTGCAGCTCTCTCCTCAGCTTCGCCGAGGAGGCCAGTGCCTTCGTCTTTCCCCAGTTGATGGGGAGCCGCTTGTCGCCCAGCATGGTGGCGACGCCCTTCGCGAACCTGGCGATCTGCTCGACGACCAGCCTGCGCGTGCCGATGCCGTGGCCCGAGATGTCGTCAATCACGTTGACCACCCTGCCAATTGGCAGCAGCTTCCTCGACTGCAGCAGGAGGTCGTACAGCATGATCCTCGCCCTGGTCGTCGCACAGGAGCATCCAGCAATGACGGTGTCGTCGATGACCAGCTGCTCGCTGAAGGCTAGGCCGGCCCTGGCCCTGCGGGGGCCCGAATACAGCACGCACGGCGCCTGGATCATCCCAGTGTTGAAATCGCAGCCCCGCGCCGCTTCGAGGAGCAGCCCGTGGCTGATCTGCTCGTAGAACTTGCTGATGTCGAAGTAGACCGACGCAGCCTCGAAGTTCTTCTCGCGCACCAGGCCGAGCAGGAGGTTGTGGACGTGGGCCGCCCTGTCGCAGCAGGTGTCCGAGTCTGCCCCCCAGTATTCGGGGAGCTTGTGGCCCCGCTCCCAGCCCGCGCAGTACTTGCGCCTGATGCGGCCCCAGATGCGCAGCCACATGCAGAGGAGCCCGATCGGGCGGCGGCCCCCGTCGGACTTCCCCAAGAAGACGATGATCGCGGTGAAAAGCTCCGACGGCCGGGGGTGCCGTTCCCAGGCTGTCAAGATTTCAGCCAGCCTGTCCGCGCACACCCTGCCTAAGCTGAGGATGAGCCTGGGGCGGAAGGCGTCCCATCCCAGAGCCGTCTTCCTGGGAAAGGCCTTAGCCGCTGCCAGCACATCCTCCGCCGTGATGGCGTCCAGACCCAAGGGCTCGCCCCAGTTCTCGGGGCGGACTCTGGCGGAGCCCTCCTTGTGCCAGAGCGCCTTCCACTCCTGAAGGACCCTGTCCAGGGCCTGCTGTCCGACCAGCGGGACTGGGGGGCTCGCCCTGGCCAGGGCCGAGGATGGAGCAGGTCTCGAGGTTGGCCTGCCTGCTGATCGCGTGGGCGCCCTTGCCGTTCCCACTGAGGGCCTCGGCCATGAACTCCTTCCAGCGCTGCCTGGCGAGCTTCACGCCCTCCCTGCGCTTGACCTCAGAGGCGGCGCCGATGGCCTGGAGGAAGATGCCACCCTGCTGCGACCTGTCCGAGATCTCCGCCAGCATCGCCGCCATCTTGGCGCCGCCGAACATCTCGCAGCCCTCTGCCTCAAACTTGGGGACCAAGCCTAGGGCGGCCTCCTGCAGACGCTTGACGTGCTTGTGGTGCCCAGGCGAGGGGTGGGGCACCGACGCCGCGGCCGCCAGCTGAGTGGCCAGGCGCCCCAAGGTGATCCAGCAGCGCGTTAGCGGGCTGGCCCTGCGCACCTCCTCCGAGCGCAGGAGGTGAATGAGCTGCTTGGGTACCCTCGTAAGCCCCTGCGCCCTGCCTCTGTACTTGGCGCCGCCCTTGATGCCGAAGAGGTGTATCAGGCGATCCTCAGCCTGGTCGAAGAACTCAATGATCGCCTTGTTTGGGCTCCCACTCTCGTCCAGGAGCGGCGCCTTCCAGTCCGTCAGCGAGTCCTCCTCCTCTGGCTCAGGCTGGATCCCCTCCTGCTTCGCCGCAGGCAGCTCGAAAGGCTTGGGGCCCTTCTGCGCCCAGACACCTGCCTGGCTGCTCAGCTTCTCGAAAGTGAGCCTGACGGGGGCGTGCGGGTGCGCAGTCGCCTGTCTGAGCACCGACACCTTCGGCCCTAGCCCCGCCAGGACGTCCGAGATCACGAAGAAGTCGCATGTGCTATCTCCGCAGGTCGGCTCGTCAGGCGCCACTATCACCGCCCCCACCGCGCGCGGCCACCACGAGCTGCTGAGGAGGCTGGGCTCCAAGTTCCAGTCTGCCCCCACTACGAAGGGCCCCCGCAAGCCCAGGAGGAAACCCTGCAGCTCACTCAAGAGGTCCACGTTGGCCTCATTGAGCTTGACCGAGCACTGCAGGCACAGGCTGACGCACACCGCGACCAGGTCCCCGAAGGCGACGCGCCTCGCCACGATCCTTGAGGCGCGCTGGCCCCAGCCCTGGTCGATCGAGGCCACTCCGCGGTGCTCACCGACCAGCACGGCGACCCCCGAAGAGACGGCTTGGACCGCCGTCCCTGTGCTGCGGCACTCTCCGAAGGCCGCGTTGATGCCGTTCCGCTTGCACCAGGCACGGGCCGAGCCTTCAGCAAGCGCCGAGGTGAAGCGGGTCTCCTGGATGAGGTACACGTCGTCCCTGACCTTCTCGCCCAGCAGCTGCTCGAGGGCCGTCTGGGACTCGGCCCAAGTGGAGCCGTTGATGCTGAGGAAGCTGGCGCCCTGCTGCGCCGAAGGCCGCACCAGCTTGGCCAGCTGGAGCCAGGCGGCCGCGGCGGGCACAGCCGCGCCTGCCGCCTCAGCCCTGGGCTGGGGGCGGCGCTTCGCCGTGCAGACGAGGTCCAAGGGGGGACTCACGCCCGAGCCTGTAGCCCCGCCATCCTGAAAGAGCAACCCACTATTACCTATGGGCCCTCGGCTGGACTGCGGACCGCCAGTCCCTTGGCCACGCTGCTCCCCCAGGCTCCCGTTGGGCCTGGGGTCAAAGGTGCCGCGGCCGCTTGCCTGCAGCCCAGAGCGCGTCCAAGGCGTCGCGCAGCTTGCGCTTGGCCTCATCTCGCTGCTCGGGGGTCGCTTCACGGAGTGCTGCTGAGGCTGCGGCGTACTCCTCGCGCTTCTCCTCCCAGCCTTCTCCTCCCAGCAGCTCCATGTCGATGTCGTCTGATTCTGGCACTGGTTTGTGCTCGCCGCCTGCGTCTGCCTCCCCAGCAGCAGGACCAGGAGGAGCAGCAGCGGCCCTGGCAGCGGCAGCTGCCTTCTTGCTGACGCTGGCTGCGGTCTGCAAGCGGGCCAGGACCGCGAGGGCGTCCTTGGCCTCCTGGCTGGCGGCGACGTCCTCGTCCAGTCCAGCTGCAACTGCCAGAATCGGGTCGGGGAACTCGCTGGCCTGCAGCTTGACCAACTTGGCCTCCCCCTCGGAGAGCTTGTGGTTCTCGTCACCGAGCGAAGCCCTGAGCTCCTGGAGCTCCTTGTCGAGTGCGGCCTGCTGCTCCAAGATGGCTGCCCCGCGGGACTCGAGCTTCTTGATCTTGTCGCGCATGGCCTTGACCCTCCAGCGCTGCGTCTAAGCAGTAGGCTGTTTGCTCTCAAGCGTCTTCGACTCCGCAGCCTTCTCTGCCTCCTCCACCGCGCTGGTGTCAAGCCCCTCCTTCGCCAAGAAGGTGCGCACGTCCTTGAAGGAGATGCCAGCACTCGCCTCGGCCGACTTCCTGGGCGGGGGCTTGCGCCCCTTCCAGGGCTCCGTCGGGGGCGGGGCCTCGCCCTTGAGATCTGCCACCTGCTTCTGCAACTGCTGCAGCTGCGCCAGAAGCTGTCCCTGTCTTGGCGGGCCCTGCGCCCAGGCCCCGCGCGGGCGAGACGTGCTGGGTGCTGGCCCGTTGGCTGCTGCTGCCGAGAGCTTGGCTGCCTGCACCACGTGGGTGGGAGCCGCCTTCCAGCACTGGCGGCAGCGCGTCCTGGACGCCCAGTTGCCATCACAGCCGCAGGAGCAAGACCAGAGGGGTGTCTTCCGCGCGCCTGGGATGATGCCAGGGTCCGATTGTGCCGGCGCCATGGCCCGCGGGCTGCCGCGGGTGGGGCCGTCGTCGTGAAGGTTGGCTCGTGCCCACTACGCCGCTTCGAAGTAAGTGGGCACAAACGCGAGCTGTCTCCAGCTCAAGAAATCCAGCTCGCGCCGAAACGGCTATGGTGTTGGGCATTGGACAAGGAACCTTCAGATAAGGAATCCACGGTCTGGAAGCCAGTGGAACTCCAATCGTGTTTCGGCCATGAATATCACCGCCGCCCTTATTGGATAAGGAATCCTCCAAGGCCTCCTGGGACTATTCCTTGACAAACGCCTCCACCGTACATCTCTCGAACAGCAGCTGAGCAGGCGCGTTCCACTGCTCACAAAGCTGCTACTCGCAAGTGGCCCGGATCCGCCGCGGGGCACTTACGATACACTCCATAGATGAAGACATGTTTTTCCTAACGTTTGCGAGTAGGCACTTTGCGATCAGTGGAACGCGCTCGGTGAGCAGCAAAACCACCGTCTCTGCAGACCAGGGGGGAGGAGGAACGGGGAGGGGAGGGAGGCGAGGCTGGAGGCAGGAGAAAAGAGGGGGGCGGGGCTCCTCCCATCGCAGCGCCACGCCTCCGACCCCATTTTGGGCCCGAAGACGGCCTGCCGTTTCTTATCATTCGATGGATGGCGCACTCGTGCTCGGAACCGAACAAGCATGGTACCGAGAAAAAGCGGGACCCCGGCAGACACCCTGGGACCGAAAACACGTTGGGGGCGAACAAAACTCGGCGGTGGACAAACCTCCCTTTAGTAAACCTCCCCTTAATGAAAACGGCCCGGGACCGAAACCGACGGACCTGGACCCGCAAAATGACGACCGCGACGCCCTCTCGCGAACCGAAAACGGCCAATTCCTTACTCGACGTGCCAGGGTAGGAGGTCTATCCACATCCGAAAAACTCTGGGGACCCCTCGAGTCGCTCCGACAAAAGTGCCCGGCACCCCCCCACGAACAACAACAACAACAACAACAACAACAACAACAACAACAATCATTTTACCCGAACGCTCAGTGTTCTCCCCAGTGCCAGGGTTTTCATGCGACGCCAGCCAATACCCCCACTTCGTGGGGGGGCAATGCAAGCTCTACCAAACATCCACACGACTCTCGGGAACCACCCACACCCAGCTTCCCGCCCTATGACGTCAGGACACTTCACTTCGTGGCGCGCGGACGATCGTGGATACTACACTGGCGTGGAGTACACTCTTGGAGCCAACTTGGAGCGCGCGCATGTGCACTTCGTGTCATTTTTTGCAAGGGATGGTGGCCCTCGTAGGCTCGCAACCGTTGTTGCAGAAGGTCGAAGCACCTGAAAAGGTTCCTCGCAAAGGCCCTTTTAACAGAAATGTTTAAAATCTGGTGGGTTTCCTAGGAATCCGCAAGAGCGCGCGGAAGGACATTTTGACAATTTTTTCTGAGAAAACCATTGGGTTTTTGATGTTTTTATGTTAAAATCGTTACGAAACCTAAGGTTTTGGAAGGATTTCGTCTTGCGCGCACGAATGTCCACTTTACCTTATTTTTTGCAAGGGATTCTTGCAATTTGATCAAGTAAAAACAAGAATTTTCATTTTCTATTGTTTTTTGCAAGGGAAAACGAGCGTCAACAAAAAACCGGATCCGGAGCTCATCCACTTTTCTGAAGCTTTCGCGAAAAAATGATGAAAATGTAGCTGCGGCCTAGGCGCGGCGCAGAGGTCGCGCACCAGGGGTCCCAACAATAATAATTCTTTAGAAGGAATAATGTTCAACAACAACAACAACAACAACAACAACAACAACAACAACAACAACAACAACAACAACAACAACAACAACAACAACAACAAACAACAGCACCACAAAGCCTGCAGCTGCTGGGACGCGCCCCGGGACAGGAGAGAGCCCCAGGGAGCAGCCGACCCTGCGTCCGACGACGACCCCCCCAAAAAAAAACAAAAAACAAGAGCACCCGAAGGCCGTTGTTAGGGGGAAAACAAACCTACCTCCCTTTTGACCACCCTCGCTTCCAAGAGATACCAAACGATACCAAACTACGGCCTGTACTCGTCAGGCCGCTTGACGAGGAGGCGCGTGGTATGACTTGGTTTTGCCTGGAAGCGAAAGCGGGGTAGGTAATTCACGCTCTGAGTTGTGGCGACCCCGAGAGGTCCCCCCACCGACCCACCGCACACGACGTGGTCCCAGAGCGCCGCTGGCGGGGCACCCGCGCGCGAGGGGGGCGGGGGGGGGGGGGGGGCACGCGAGATCACCGGGCCGCGAGCTCGCCGCCGACCCCTTGGAGCCCAGCCTCTTGGAGCC